GTCAAACTCTCCAGCTTGGCCAATGGAGAGGCCCCCTGAGCCGAGGATCAGAACCTTTCGAGGTGGTGGAAGCCCAGAGCCTGGGGTGGGAATCCCAGGGGGACAGAGGCGCTCAGCCAGCCGCTCACGAACTTCAGAGGCAAAGAAAGTCATAAGATATTAGAGCTGAGTGGGACCTGAGAGATTGTCTGGATTAACCCCATCTCTTTCAGCAGAGTACAGAGTGAGGACTAGAACCTAGGACTCATGACTCTGAAGTTCCTTTCAATAGAAGAGGCATGAATTATCTTGCCTTGGTTGCCTTCCTACCTTACCTTCTTAACCTCCCATATGTATATGAGTTTCCAGGGGCATGTCCATCTTATGCCCATCCTGCAGCCAGCCCTATTTTTAGATCCACAACCCAGTTCTGTTTAGGGGCTTACCTGTCTGGCCTCCAGGGTTCCCAGCTGTGGCCTCTTTCACAGTTTCCAGAAAGATATCAAAAAGCAGTTCCATATCTGAAGGGCCAGCTTGGTGCTCTGGGTGAAACTGGACACTGTTGAAGAAATTGGATCATGAAACCTATCATTGTCACTGGCATGACATTGGCAGTCTCAGAGATGGGTAGTAGATAGAGGATTCAGGTCCACTGCTGTGCTTGATTTTTTGATCTTTAAGGCCCATGAGGCATCAAAGCTGTACAGACCCACAGTTGCCCAGAATCACCCAGGCTCACCTGAAGAAGGGCAGGCTGCTGTGTACAATGCCTTCATTAGAACGATCATTGGCATTGATGAAGAGAGGAGCCCAGCCTGCTGGCAGTGAGTCTGTTTCCACAGCAAACCCGTGGTTCTGGGATGTCAGAAAGCAACGCCCAGAGCCCACAAGCAGGCAGGGCTGGTTATGGCCTCGGTTCCCGTATCTGAAATGGAAGCATGCAGAGTCACAGGCCCCTCTCACCCTCTCTTCACTACTGCACCAAACCCAGCTCTTGCTGATCTCACTACTCTTGCTAGCCCCACTCCTGTTCAACATTAAGACACTCCAACTCTCTTCCCATTCCCAAGACGCCCGAACCCTCATGTCAAAACCATGGGTTACTTCCTCTCCCCACAAGTCCCACCTCATCTTGTAAGTCTTAGCCCCAATGGCTAATGCCAACAGCTGGTGTCCCAGGCAGATTCCAAAGACAGGTCGGGGATTAGGCTCAGATAAGACACGGCTCAGTGCTGACACCACATTGGGATAAGAGGCGGGGTCACCAGGGCCATTACTTAGGAAGAGACCCTCATACTCTGGAGTGGGCAGAAAAGATGACATTAAAACGAGTATTTCAACTACAAGAGACACACATACTTACAGCCCTTACCATCAGAGCAGAAGCCCTGATCTCCATCTTCATTGCAACTCAGTCAATATATTGACTGTTAGCAACAGGACAAAGGGACAGATCTTCCATCCAAGCTGCTTGTCTGAGGCCCTGGACAGCCCCAACTACTCACCCTGGCTGTCTAATGTATGGTCCCAGGGTACAACAGTGACCTCGGCCCCACGCTGGCAGAGGCAACGGATCTGATTAAACTTGAGGCCGCAGTCCAAAGCAAGGATCCGAGGGGTACCTCCTGCATTGAATACCTGTGTAGTCTGAGGAATAGAGGAATAAAGTGCAACAGTTGGCAGCCGTGATCAACGGGTATGCCTACACCAATCCCTACCTTTGAGGCCTCCGTGGATTCTCCCTCGAGTGTTGTGGTATCACTACCGGGCTACAGTTTGCAACACTCTCCCACTCTACCTCTGTACCTTAATGGAGACCTCTGGTACCAGAGGGCGGGCATTGGGGTCTGAGAATGGCAAGGCCGAAGGCTCTGTCCCATTCTGGACCAGCTTCCCCAGCAGAGACCCTTGCTCCCGCAACTTCTTAGTCAGCTCCCGAGTGTCCACTCCTGTCAAAACAGCACACTCCTCCAACTCAGTCATCTGTGAGGTTAGACTCCCAGAAGCACTGCCATTCCAGAGTCTTGAGTCACACACAGCTGTTCTACAGATATCAAAATCCTGGGCCATGTTGATGGGAGTATGCTATTGTGAAGTATTTTTGCCCAAAATAATATCACATCTGAATTGAACCACAACTCAAGATTATCCATTTACAGAAAATAATACCAAGGGAAAAAGAACATGCTAAATACACTATAGGAATGTAATCAACAAAGTGGGATATTCCTAAGGAAAAATAACCTGTTTTCATCAAACAGGTTACAAGGTCCATAAATCACATTTAAGAGACATATCAATCAGATGCAACCTATGAACCTTGTTTAGAGCCAGATTCAAATAAACAAACAGAAAAAGAAAACTGAGATATTTGAGGAAATTTTAAACATTGCCAGGATATTTGACATTAAGCAATTATTAATTTTTTAAAGGTATGATAGGATTATTATGGTCATGTTTTTTAAAAAAATTCCTTTTTCATAGATATTGAACTATTTGTGGACAAAATAATGTGATGTCCAACGTTTGCTTCAAAATAATCTAAGGGTGGTAGCAGAGGTGATAAAATAAGATTAGCCCTGAGTCGATGACTACAGAAGCTGGGGGTTCATTATACTAATCTCTCCTTTGCATGTTGGAACGTTTCCGCCTAAGTGAAAGCTCAGTTTCTTCCCCCAGCCCTAGACCCCAATCTAAATCTTCCCATCCTTTTATCACAACCTTAGACTCAAGTCTTGTATTTGTCTTTGTCACAATGTAAATAAATAAGATATTAATTATAGAGTATTAATAAAACAGACTGATAAACAGTCTGATAAAAACAGAATAGGATGCTTAAAACATTGCTAAATAAAAAATAAAGATACAATACTAGACATGATTATAAGCCCCCCTTCATTTGGGATTATCATCAAAAAAATAAAGGATAACACAAATTTATTACTCAATAGACAAGCATTTAAGAACTAAACAGAAAGTTTATGTGGAAGAAAGCAGTATATTTAAATAACATTCAGCTCAGTGGTTAAAGGTTTAAAGGCAGATGGATGTTGAGACTGCTCTTCAGGGATCTGAAGGTTAGTTTGGCAGAACCCTCCCTGGCCAGGTGGAGTAATCCACACATGTGCAAGTGCATTTACAGCCACAAAAGCATCAGTGTTGGGCTACTGGCTTTAGGAGGCTTCACTCCCCCTAGTCTTATCAGGGTCTCCATCATGCAGTTTTATAAACTCAATTTCATTAGTGTTTCTAGAGGTGACAAAGCTGACGACTGACATATGTTAGCCAAATTCACAAGATACTGCTTTATAAACTAGAATGCAGTGTATTTATAGGTTTATGACGAAGAATGTCCTTTCCAAGAATAATAAGCGTGGTACTTTATTGAGAGCTCCCTCTTCCTAGTGTCAGCGTGACAGGGAGGCAAATAAAAAATTAATGGCTCAGTAAGCCTGGAATCAAGACGACAAAAGTTTTAAGGAATAGTGCATATATAGGCTATAGTGACTGTTAACTATTATGTACCGATTTCTTCATTACTTTAACTCTCAAAGGGCAAATTAGTTTCCAAATGCCAGAGCAGAAGTTATATGGGAAACCTCACTGTAGGAGGAAACAGCTTTCTTACCTAGAGGTAAGAACACTATTGAAAAGCAGAAATTGAGACAAGGTAACGTAAGAAGAGCAAGAAGATGATAACCAACATCACTGGTTTTGTAGGTAAACAACTGGGAAGAATGTGATCCCTTCCCAGGCTCTTTCCCACTTATTTATGTAATTCTAGAGCAATGCTCCCATCACAAGACTCTTGCCACTAAAAAAGCCTTTAACGGTTCCTTACCAAATGAAGCGCTGACTGTGGTTTGGCTTCAAGGCTCTCCGTGTTCTGTATATCTAACCCATCTGCAGGTTTTTTCTCATGACTTCCCCTGCATTCCTAGCAAGTTGGGCAACACTGTTCCCTTACACCTCGTGCCACTTTCCTTGACCCATGCCTTCACTACATACACAACACTCTCAACTATGCCTCGAACCCTGATGCCCCTATCACAGGGGGTAGAGCTCTCTCCTCTGAGGACTCCAGCACTCTGTGCCTAAAGCCTAATTACAGTCGTCTTAGTACTTGACCTCAGTCCGTATCTTTCCAGGATGCCAGCAGGGTGTCACTTCACTAACATTTAACAATTAGTTGATTTGAAAAGGAATGTAGAGAAAGCACTGCGTGTGGCTACCTTGCTGAGCCCGAACTCATCCACTTCATCTGGGGGGATGCCATAGTTGCCGATCAGAGGGTAAGTCAGCACTAAGATCTGTGCTCTGTAGGAAGGGTCAGTGAGGGCCTCGGGGTATCCGACCATACCTGTTTGAAACACTGCAAGACAGAAGCAGGGCACCCTTTGGAATGCAGCCCCGCGCGATGAGCATGCCTCGGTCATGAGGGACGAAAGGGGCTGAGGCGGGGACCTTGGGCACCCGGAGGGGGAGGGGGTGTGCAGGCGGGAAAATGGCGGGTTCGGCAGGGCAGGTCGGGCGGAGAGGGGCGTCAGAGTGGGATCAGGTTGGCAGACTGCCCCGGCTTGCTTACCCACTTCCCCGGCAGTCGACACGGCGGCCCCAAAGGGCTGGCCCCGCAGGACTGACCCGTCCTCCAACACCAGGGCCGCCATGGGCACGGAGCTCAGCGCAGGGGCGAGCACGGAACAGCGGCAAGCTGCAAGCCCCACTGGAGGCCAGTGAGGACTGCGCGCCGGAGTCAGCCCACGTGGCTAACGGCGCGGGGCGCCGAGAGGAGGCGGGCGCGGAAGGCGCTGCAGCCCGAGGCGCCAGGTGGCGGCAGTGACTGCGGCGGCGCGGGCCCCCGCGGCGTGACAGGCGGGGCCGAGCACGTAAGGGGCGGGGCTGCGGGTGCGAGCCCGCCGGGCCTCCGCACTGGAAAACCCGGGGAAACCTGAAAAACCCTCCACCCCAAGGAAGAAACACACAAAGGCGGGGCGCCTTGACCTAAAAAGAAGTAGAAGAAGAAAAGAGAAAAGAAGTGTTTATTACAGTCAGCAGCACAAATGGGAACTGGTGCAAGTCCACGCTTGACCTGGAGTGTCCACAACACTCCAGGTTGGTGCAATTTTCCGTCTTCCTTCCAGTGGTGGCCCCAGCCTTGAGGAGGATCCGTGGGCCAATGATGGCTGTCTAGAAAATCTCCTTGGATGGGCTAAGGTAGATCAGAATGATCATAGGTCAGAAGGAAGACCTACGTGGTTCATGAAGCCTTAGCTTTTCGGCGCTGGGTCCTCCAAAGCAGAAGGGAGATACATAGTGTGGTGGATCCCAGAATCCCGAAGAACATAAGCAGTGGGAATGAGCCCTGTGAATAACAGAACAAAAAAACTGCATACAGTGTTACACAGAGGGCTACATCCTAACACCTACTTCTTTCCTAGTATACCTCCTCCCTCATGCGGGGTAATTCTACAGTTTTCCTCCTGTAGGTAATTTGCATCAGCTCCTGGTCTTATGGCTCTCCTTTCAGAGTTTCTTGCTCTATGCATTCCTCTTATCCCTAATTAGAAGGCCTAACTTCTCACCTGGCGCATACACTTGTACCCATGGAAGCCATCAGCACAAACACACTGCAAGAGACCTGGACCATTAGGTGCACAAGATCCATTCTCAGGACACATTTCTGGGAGCCAGAGAGAAATAGAGAACATCACTGGATCTCATTAGGTATGTTTCCGAAATAACTGCTTCAACTTAGATTCTCTCAAACATTTCTAGGTCAAAGGTAGAGGAAAGAAGATTAGAGATAAAATCAGAACAAAATAATATTTTTTAAGACCTATTCTTTCCAAGGGGTTAGAGCCTCAGAACAAAAGGCACTTAAGCAACTTTGCCCTTCTGATCTAAAGTGGTAAATGCAAGAGAGGAAAGGCAGTTCCTTCAAGGGTGTAGCAGAGACAGCATACCCGGGTTCCCAGTGCTATTGCAAAGGTTCTTCTGCCCTTGGCAGATTTGGTTGTCTCTATAAGAGGTGACAGTATTCCAGGCATTGATACCTCCAGGACAGTTGACATCTTGTGGCAGTACCCTGAAGACAACACAGTGGTCATAATATGCAGCCCAAAGTTGCTGAGCTCACAGTACTGCCCCTCTTTGATTCTCTTCCCCCATACCCTTACTCACAGAATCTGGAGCTGGATAAAGCCATGGAAAGTACTGGCCAAGTCATCCTTGAGGGGGTTTGCTTGCAGGTCTCTGCAAAGCACACAGTTAGCATTCTGCTCAAGGAAGCACCCTATTTACATTCACACATCTTCCTGGATTTGTAATCCAATTCTCATCCTAGTTGTTCAAGTTTAGGCTGAACTGTGTTTTCCTGAAATTCATATGTTGAAGTCCGCACCTCGCTCAGCCAGTGAGCGGGAACCGGTCTGTATGTGGGATCCGAACCCTCGGCGGGAGTGCCTCCGCGCTCCTAAGCGGCGCACTGTAGCAGTGCGCCACCCTAGTTGTCCAAGTTGAGACATCAGTATTCATCTATCTTTTTAGGAATCCATCCCCAAAGACTTTCCCATCAACTCTTTGCCATATTCAGGAGTATACCTAACCACTTACATGATGACAGCAGTATGTGCCTGAGGAAAGTTTGGACCAGGGTCCTTCAGAGAACAGTTGTGGAGATCGAGCCTGAGGAAATAAATTCATCAGTGTAACTATATGTCTTTTTCTTCATCCATGGCAAGGTTTGTATTTGTCTACACAATTCCCCTTTCAGCTAATATTAATTGAACACAGCTGTGCTCACAGTTGCAAACGAGGTGCTGTGGTAGGCATTTTAATCATGCATTATCCAACATAGTCACCATTAGCAACATTTAGCTACTTAAATTTAATTTAACCTAAAAATTCAGTGCTCCATTTGCACTAGCCACATTTCAAGTGTAAATGGGATAACCACATGTTAGTGGCTACTGTATTGGTCAGTACAGACACGGAACATTTCAATCATCACAGAAAGTTCTATTAGACAGCACTGTTCTAGTCAGTATACTTATGCATCTGTGCATATATGGGAAGAAATCTGTATTTGTCTAGATTAGTGAATCTTGTATTATGATTCTCAATCTGCAAGGGGCCTTTATTTTTTATTTTTATTTATTTATTTTGGTGGATGGCTGGTACAGCGATTAAATCCTGACTTTGCTGTTATCAGCACCATACTCTAACCAACTGCCTAACCAGCCAGCCCACAGAGGACCTTTAAATTAAAAAAAAAAAGCAAGTCACAGTTTTTCAAGTGCATTTTTACCACAGACTGGTTGTAAACTCCCGGACATTAAGGACTATGCTACATTATTTTTTCTCCAATATCTATTGCTGCACATTCCTTTATTCTACAAATATTTACTGAGTGCCTTTGGGAGAACATAAAAATATACATAATACAGTATCTTAGCCTTCAAGTGGCTTACAATGTAGTAGTGGAACAAGATCATCATCAAAAATAAAAACAATGTAAACATTAAGTTACAATATGAAAGAAATAACAGGACAGTATATAAATAAACTCGAGTGGTACAGATACTAAGGATTAGAGGAAGTTTTAAAAAAAAGGTATTACTTTGGAATTTAATAGTGGGGATCGTTCACAAAAGATATTGGAACTGCAGGATGGATATGGCCTAATTTGGTGGAGGAAGGCAATTTCAGGTATGGAGAGAAGCCTGAAGAAACAAACAAAAGTGGAATGTCTTTGTGGGGAGCCAGAGGAAAAGTGGGTTGGGATTGGTCTGTGGTAATTCATGATTTCAACTTTACGCTGAGAGCAACAGACAGTTACAAATATAGTATTTAAGCAAGAGAGTGATAATGGAAAAATTTGGTTTTCAGAAAGTTTAACACAGAAATATTTAGGCGGATTCAGGGAAAGAGGAGAATGGAAGCAAGACATGACATTTTGAGTTTGAAATGAGGGTGCACTCAGGAGGAAATGTTTAATAGGAAGCTAGAGGTACCCACATGTACCTGGAGCTTGAAGAGGTCAGAGGACACAAAAGAGATCTAGTTTTGGGAGACAACTGCATAATCATTATAACTGAAGCCAAAAGAATAGGTGGATTCTACAAAGAGTGTAGAGGGAGACAAGCAACCAGGGCAAGGAATGAACTTGAGGGACTTGCCCCAAAGATAAACATGAATTAATCAGAAAAGGAAGAAAAGCCATATTAGCACAGTGTCTTGGAGGATAATGGAAGAATTTCATGGAGACAAACAGTAAATAATCCAAAGACCTGATAATAAAAGAACAAAGCTCTTTTTAAAATGCAGCTATAAGGGCTGGCCTGTGCTCACTTGGGAGAGTGTGGTACTGATAACACCAAGGCCACGGGTTCGGATCCCATATAGGGATGGCCGGTTAGCTCAATGGTGAGCATGGTGCTGACACCACCAGGTCAAGGGTTAAGATCCCCTTACTGGCCATCTTTTAAAAAGAAAAAAAAAAAAAAAAATGCAGCTATAAAAACCCTTAAAAAAAGAAAACAGGCAAAAATTATGACTTTTATGCAGTTTCATCCAGAAAGAACCACAGAATTGTTAAACTAGCCAAAACTGCCATAACAAATCTAAAAGTTTGAGAATCACGGTTTAGATGCCTCCAGAACAGGCACCAGTTATTTATCCCAAAAGCCAATCAGGCAAAGCCTTGTAGAATCGAGTCTGGGAACTCTTTTCCAGTATCCAGAAACCTGGTCTTCTTCCTCACCCCAATATGGTGCCCTTCTGATTCAGGCAGCAGCGAGCGTGCAGCATTAGTTCGGGTGTCCGCTTACAATAAAGGGCCACTTCTGACAAATTTTGCACACTCCCTGGACACTGGGTGCATACCTGCAGAAGAGAAAGAAACCTTATTAGTTCTCCAGAACGAAAAGCCAAGAAAGGAACAAACGGAGATTGAGTTAACTGACAGCACACTTCTACAGAATGCCTCTAACATAGGGCAGAGAAGCGGCTTGTGTCCTACCCTCACATCAGGTTAGACTAGGAAATGCCATTTCTTCCCCTACAGCCTGGCGCCGAATCTGCGCACCAGAGACTTTCAGTACCAGACCTATCCCAATAAGATTGTCATCTTTGAGGCTCTCTGTTCTAACGTATTTATTATGCTCACGCCAGACACTTCTCAATCTGACAGCCCCGGTTTGGCCGGTTTAAAAGGACTGCAGGTACATCATCAAGCATTACAGAAAGTACAGTCCTACCATCGCACGATTCAGCATTCGTGCGTGGAGAGTCTGCAGAAGAGCCAGAGGACTCGTTTGTAGAAAGAACTTAAAATTATTCAAAGATTAGGGGGCGAGAGATCAAATTTCAAAGGACTTTGAACGTCAGCAAGGACCGGGGCGCCAGAGGCCTGCGCAACGTGAGTACTCGAGAGCAGGACCCGCCTGGGGAACGGCTGGGGCTGGGGTCTGCAGGCTTCAGGGACGAAGTCGGAGCTGCGGGCCGGCTGGGCGATGGGGACAGCTGCGGGCGCGCGGAACAGACGGCTGGCCAGCTACCCTGCTTCAGCCGGATCTCAAACTTGCTTCTGTACCTTGGGTAGCGCCAGAGCCCTTTCCACGCCCAGAGCGAGGAGCAGGGCCGCAGCCCAGGGCACCAGGCTTGCAGGACTCCGTTGCCCGCGAGGTGCCATTTTTCGCTCCCTTCGTCCTTTTCGAACGCTCGCGAGACCTGCGCGCGCAGCCTCTCCCCCCCACCCCCCGGCGCGTCACGCCTTGGCCCCGGGGCGTGGCCTAATTGGCCAGTCCAGTCGCCCCGGGGCGAGCGGCGAGGGACGGGGCTGGCGTTCCTGCTGCTCGTCAAGGTCAACATTTATCTCAGTGCGCCGCAGTCCTCGTTGGGGGCACTGGGCGGCCCCCTTTCCATTTGTCCTTTTAGTGAACGCCTCCTCTGAGCTGACTGCAGGCCTTTCAGCCTCGCGTGCCAGCGCCCGGACGCCGAAGTCGCGTCTCCGGTGCAGCTCGGGCCTCTCCATCCGCCCTCAGTAAACATGGCGGCGCTGCGGCTGGGACTGGCAGGGGGGCGGGGCCCCGCTGTCGCCTGGGTGGCGTGCTGTGGGCCCGGCTCTCCTGCGACCCACGTTGGAACGCCGGCAGGTGGGACGGGCGAGTGTGGGCCGGTGCCGAGAGGCTCCGCAGCATGGCGTCAGGGCAGGGTTGGAGGCGGGGAAGGAGAGGTGGGAAAGGGCAGAGCGAACCGGCCTCCAGCGTGGGACTGGAAGAATATCTGAAGTGCGAGCAGCGAGGTAGAGGTCTCCGCACGTGTGGGCGGAAGGGCTGGAACTGGGAAAGAAAGAGGGCAAGGGTAATGGAATAGCGGAGAACGAAGGGCAAACTCCGGCGGGAGGACACGAGCACCGGGTACCAAAGTCCCCTTCACTTTGGTCGTTAGACCGCACAGCCTCCCGGAGCCTGGAGAGGAGGTAGGGGCGGGGTTAGACGCTTCCCTAACTCCTCATCTTTTTTGCCTTCCTGGAAGAAGGGAGCGATGCTGATCTCAAGGAGAGTGAAGGGACCTTCCTAGCCCTGGCTGCACCACGGAGGTAAGGGAAAGCAGCGTTGTCCCAGGGTGGCTCGGGACCCTGACAGAAGGGCTCCGGGGAAGCCCCGCTCCGGAGTGTTGTCTTTGGTTAGGGCCAGCCAAAAGCTTATCTTGAGTAGCCGGCCCAGGCTTCCCTTCCAGGTACCCCCAGGTATCTGCCTGTAATTTACTTAATGGATATACACTCAGCTGGCTGTCAAATTTTCTGAGACATTAATAGCTATTAATATTTTAATGAGGGCCCTCAAAGCCTGTAATACCTTGAGGAATTCTAGGCACAAGAACAGGTTTTGAGGGAATCTACTTGGGACCGTTAGTCCTGCAGTGACCCCTTTGCCTTTTGTAGGAGTCAAAGCAACCCAACGCAGCGTGTGACCAAAGTGACACGCTTTTCAAAAGAGGTCCCACAACTGCTGTTTGTGCCCTAGTGTGTTACAGTTTTAGTGAAACAGCTCTTCCTTTTGGCTCCCATTCTCTCAGAAAGATGCAGGTCCACAGAGTTTGGATCAGTGTAAAGTTTTTAGAAAGCCACTGCTTTGTTCTTAGAATTATGTCTGATGAAGGCTTTGTTACTCAGTCACGTTTTTTCTGTCTTGCCTGGCTCTGTCTTCAGCCATTCAGGAGAGTTCTCGCACCTCATGCAAATAGAGTTCTGTCAATAAGCCCCATCAGTTTACTCCAGCAGAAGAGGGTCTCCATTTCTGTACATCTGTGTCCTGTGTATGGACTGAGACCTTTCTTCTTTTCTCCAACCACCTGCCTAACCATACCACTAACCCATTACATGTTCTTACTTGCGCATAGCAGACATTTTTCTCTCTTACTGTCCAGTAATTCCCATCATGTCTGTCATAGCAGTAAAAACTGGGCAAAGAGGAGTGGGGCAACTCAGAATGTTGCAATGTACTGTGGCTCACGGCATCCTTCAGTTACACCAGAGTGGTCTGTAGGGAACCTTTTCTAGTGACTAGCATTTGTGACTGTAGAACATGTGATTCAGGAGTTGCCAGCTCTGATTTCCTCTCTTCATTGGCCCCAGGAGGTTTAGAGTTCAGGTTTAGTCTGCCTGCAGACATATCCTGCTAGTCAGGCTACGTCTGCCCAAGAACACAGTGTGGGAGAGTCAGAAGGCACCTGATCTTTTTCCTAGTGGGCAAGAGCAGAAGACACAGTTTATATTAATCTGTCTCTAGATTAGTTGAAATCTAAACTGTGTTCCATGAATAACTGGCTACAATTAACATTCTGCTCCTGCCCTGAGTCTGGGAGTAGTCAGGACAGGGCCCCTGGTGAATCATGTCTTAGCTGCAGACAGCACTGTCTTTTTCTCCTTTGTTTAGCATCATGCTGCATAACCTTAAGCAATTTATCTAACCTCTCAGTTTCCTTATGAGAACTAGAGAGTATTCATGTCTTAACCCGAGATGGTGTTTTGAAAGTGTTAGCCTGTTTCTTTTGCTTATAACAGGATACCTGAAACTGGGCAATTTATAAAGAAATAAGATTTATTTCTTACAGTTTTGGAGTTGGGAAGTCTGTAATCCAGGGAATGCATCTGGTGAGGGCCTTTTTCTTGGTGGTGACCCCGCAGCAACTAGGGGTATCATATGGCGAGAATGAGCTGAGCAAGAGAGCTAACTTTCTCGCTTGTTTTCCTTATAAAGCCATCAGAACCACACCCACGACCACCCTTTAAACCATCAGTGGATTAATCCATTCAGGAGGGTACAGTCCTCACAATCTAATCACCTCTTAAAGGCCCCACTTTTCAATTACTATAATAGGATTTACCACTTTCCTAACACTTAAAATGGAGATGAAGTATCCAGTACATGAACTTTTGGGAGTTGGAGGGGAGGTTGGCCTGTATGGGGATCTAAACCCTTGACCTTGGTGGTATAACACCGTGCTCTGACCAACTGAGCTAACTGACCAGCCCAATACATTAACTTTTGAGGGACACATTTAACCCATAGTCCTGTCATTACTTCATTATTTATTATTGATAATGTTTATAAAACACTTAGCACACTGCTGTATTTCATTACAAGTGTTCAGAAAATGTTAACTATCATTATGTTAGGTTATCTAAGTATGTGGTAGTCTCTGGAGTTTTTATCCTATACCAATAAGTTCCTCAGGGGATTGCTTCTGACGATGTTATATACACGGAGAGCAGGATGAATGGGGAATTGCTAGGCATAGGTTCTAATCTAGCCTCTGACAGTAATTGGCTCTGTGCTTTTTGAAAGGTCACTTGAGCCATTTGGGCCTTATTGTGCTTGTTTGTGAAATGAGAGTGGTTATAGTGATCTCTAAAGATTTCTTCAAGTTTTGAAATACTGTGATCTCGTCCCTTTTTCTCTAAGGGTTGTGGTGTATTTTTGGAGGATTAATATTTCTTGTGTGGGAGTTAGAAAAGCAACTTTCCCTCTTTCTCCCAGTTCCTCTTTTCCAACTGTTTCCAGTACATAGAGTGCCAAGAGTGACTTAGGCCAAAAGCCTAATCCATCGAGGAATGCTGTTGAATATGAGCTGCCTGCTCCCCATTCTGGAGCCTCTATGGCTGAGTTGGGATTTGGAAGTCATAGGGTGATAGGACCGTTTGGATCACAGTGATTGGTTCTCTGTAAGGGCCAGAACAAATGACTGTTGAGCTTTGCCCCGCCCCCAATTTCCTATCTCACCTCAGCCTCTTACAGTACCAGACCTCAGCCTCTATTCAGCTCCAGGCAGCTCTGCCTCCAAACAGGGATTGCTTCTCCAGGTAGGTGTCTACCCCCAGCAGGATGGGACCACTCTCTCCAGCTGTTCCTCTTGCCCCCAGCTCCCTGGCTGGTTTGCTTCTCTCCAAAGTGGCCCTGGAATCCTAACTCTGAACCCCTGGATCTAGCATGATGCCTTCTCACCTTGTCTTACGTTTGAATCTCATCGCTCTTTCTGGATCTGCCATAGACTGTGATGTGGCAGGTATAGAAAGCTTGAGAGATGTTTGGCAGATGTTTATCTAGTGATGTTGGGGAGAAAATTAAGAAAGGGCATAGAGCACTTGGCCTAGGGATGCCTGGAGTGGAGTTTGGGGCTGCCATGGAGGTGATCTTACTGGTGTTTAGTACTGAGAAGGGGTGCTGTTAGGAGGGTGACACTGGGGATCATGCAAGGTGGGGGCTGAGGCTAGGGGGTCTGGACGGGCTGCTGTCATTAGTCTCCATTTCCTCCCTGCTGGGCTGTGGCTCCAGGCTGGGCCCTGCTGGCTTAGTACAATGTAGTAACTGGGTCTGTGCCTGCCAGTGGAGGCAGGGAATTTTTCTGAGATGAAACTTAGGCTAGAGTTGATTTTTCTTTTGCTACTCGGGTGGAGACCTGAGAAGGTTCCTGAATTTCACAGCTCTGCATACTCAAAAATCTTGGCCAAGTTAGTGTCTCTTGGCTGTCTCACTCTGCAGCTTCCACCTTCTCCTACCTCTCCTACCAAACCATACCAGGACCTCCAGACCTTCAAGGGCTACCACCATGCTGGCTGGTCCAAGTTTGGTAGGCATGGGACATACAGGGCCCAAGGGCAGCTAGCCATGAAGTCAGCACAGGTCTGACTAGGAGCTGTTGCCTTTGCAGCTCACTCTGGACAACATCACTCGGTGGAGAAGAAGGACTGTGAGTTGGTGGCTGGGAGCCCACCACTGTCCAGCCAAGTGGCAGCCCAGAACCCAGGAGCAGCAACTGTGATCACAGACACAGTGAGGATATGAGTGTAGGGGTTAGCACCTCAGCTCCCCTTCCCCCAACCTCGGACACAGGCATGGTCACATCCACCTTCTCCCTCGTGGACTATGTGGTGTTCATCCTGCTGCTGGTTTTCTCCCTTGCCATCGGTCTCTACCATGCTTGTCGTGGCTGGGGCCGGCATACTGCTGGCGAACTGCTGATGGCAGACCGCAAAATGGGCAGCCTTCCCGTGGCACTGTCCCTGATGGCCACCTTCCAGTCAGCTGTGGCTATCCTGGGTGTGCCATCCGAGATCTATCGATTCGGGACCCAGTATTGGTTCCTGGGCTGCTCCTATGTCCTGGGGCTGCTGATCCCTGCACATATCTTCATCCCTGTCTTCTACCGCCTGCATCTCACCAGTGCCTATGAGGTGAGCAAGGGAGGAAGAGAGGAAGCACAGGGTACATATGAGGGATACGGGACCCCGGATCTCCTCCGCCTAATGAGAGTGACAGAGGACTCACTGTGTGTTTATAAGTTCTTTCTGGGTGAGGTCAAGGCTAGGTTTGGGAGTGAGGGGAGAAGGAAGGTGCTGTGCTGGGTGGGGCCCAGAGTGGATATGAATTGGATATTCCTTCATGTTCCTGAGCCTCTTGAGGGAAGTTGTGTGTGAATCGGGGGTGGGGAGGTAGGGGTAGAGTTGGGAGCAATACCTGTTTTCTGTATCCTTCTACTCAGTACCTGGAGCTCCGATTCAACAAAGCTGTGCGGATTTGTGGAACCGTGACTTTCATCTTTCAGATGGTAAGTGGAATGAGGATAGAAATTGAGTCTGGACATGGTTGGGGGACCTAACTCAGGCATGCTGAGGAAGGTGGAGCCTTCCCTGCTCTCAGACTGCAGGATTGAAATTCCTGCTAGGGGTCAGTGTCCCTGAAGGCCCCAGAGGCATCCTGCTGCCCCTTCCTTCCAATTTCAACACTGACACAGGTCGCAAGCCAGAATTTGGGAAGGGAAGGGCAAGGGTAGGGAGCTTAGGTGAGAGGAAGCCATTGGGATATTGGAGGTCCATCTTTCCTCCTCTCTCTTCTCACCCTCATCTCCTCTCCCCCTCATATTCTCTTTTCCACATCCAACAGGTGATCTACATGGGGGTTGTACTCTATGCTCCATCGTTGGCCCTCAATGCAGGTGAGGAGTTCCAGTCCTTGGCTTCCAGCCATAGCATGTTAGGAAAACACCTTTGGGAGGGGCAGATAGAGGAGAGTGTGCAGAAAAGAATCTGACCTTGGCCAGGGAATTAGTTCACTGCATGGGTCCTTGGACTGGTCTCTCCCAGAGGTGGAAGCAGGCTTGGTTCACCTCACTCAAAAGCTAATCAAACATTACTGGCCCCGTCTGAATTGGTTAATCAACACCTTTTGGTGGAGTTCTGCAAACATTTTTTTCCCATTGTGGTGAATGGTTTATTTCATTGTTAATGACCAAATGCTTCACCTCCATGATGTGACATGGCTGCCCTCACCAAGACTTCTCTGGCTTCTCCCCTGGGAACCCCTCATCCAGAGATAAGAATGTGACTTTTATCTGTTTACAGTGACTGGCTTTGATCTGTGGCTGTCAGTGCTGACCCTAGGCCTTGTCTGTACTATCTATACTGCTTTGGTAAGTGCAGTAAGCCCTAGGGGATGGAGGGGAAGGGATGACATAAGGAGGAAAGAAGGAAGGAAAAGAAAAATAAGGAACGAGATAAGAATATGAGGAGATGGGATGAAATTCTAGAACGGGATGAGATGAGCTGAGATTTAGGATGGGACGTAGGAGAGGGGATGGCATATGAAGGTGGAAGGTGGCATGAGAATGACGTCCCAGCATCTCAGCAGTTACACCCCCAGTAGCAGTATAGTCCCCTCACTGGTGGTATGATGGTCTCATCGGTGGATGGTTTGTAAAACATCTGTGACAGGTGTGCTGTCTTTCCCCTGCAGGGTGGGCTGAAGGCTGTCATCTGGACAGATGTGTTCCAGTCACTGGTCATGTTCCTAGGGCAGCTGACAGTTATCATTGTGGGGTCGGCCAAGGTGGGCGGCTTGGGGCATGTGTGGGATGTGGCTTCCCAGCATGGTCGCATCTCTGGGATCGAGTAAGTACATGCTTTCCCCTGGCTGGGTCTGCAGTGCTGGGGAGCTGAGCTCATCCTAGAGCCTGGTCTCAAGGCTGTAGTAAGCAGAGGGCAAACTGGGAAGCATCAGGTGCAGTCCTAGGTGGGTGGGAAGCTGGCACTGCAGAGATGGAGGGTGATCACAGGTACCCGGCTGGTGTTTACAGAGGGTCAGGACATTACCTGGGATGAGTACCTGGAATGAGGCTAGGGGTTGGAGAAATGGATCCCTCCCTCTAATTTGCTGTGCTGTCTCTTGAGTCGATCCAGTTTCTTGCCTTCATTCACTGCCTCTGCCCTAGTAATGGTGGTGTCTCTGCTCTGTTCTCTCCTGACTCCTATTGCCAGGAGAGCAGGAAGGCTGACTCTCTGTCTGGGGTTGTGGTGTCTGTTGCAGGCTGGATCCTGATCCCTTTGTGCGGCACACCTTCTGGACCTTGGCCTTTGGGGGCATCTTCTTGATGCTCTCCTTGTATGGGGTGAACCAGGCTCAGGTGCAGCGTTACCTCAGTTCCCGTACCGAGAGGGCTGCTGTGCTGTGAGTGCAGGGACAGGAAGACAGTGGAGCCAGGGATAGGGGAAGAGGTTCCTTGGAGGCGGTTGGGGTGGGGCAGGATATAAGAGCACGTACACACCCATCGGGGTCAGGACATGGGTCTCCCTTCTGGAGGCTCAGGGGTGTGTGCCTGAGAGTATCTGTTAACACCATCTCTCCCCTTGTACTGGCCTCTTTTGCAGTTCCTGTTACACAGTGTTCCCCTTGCAGCAGTTGGTCCTCTGCATGGGCTCCCTTATTGGCCTGGTCATGTTTGCCTATTACCAGGAACATCCCATGAGCCCCCAGCAATCTCAGGCAGCTCCTGACCAGGTGAGAAGGCCTCCGAGGCCCCCTCCCATACCGGTGAAGGGCCAACTGGGCCCCCAATAGGAGTGCTGGGTGGCTGCAGAAAGGACACCCTGGGAATAAAGTCCTTTTCCACTCTGAAAGTCTAGCAATCTGGCATGTGAGAATCCCAGACCTAGCATCACCTAATCACAGTGCTCCCCCTACTGGGTGTGGGGACCTACCTTTGCTGACTCCCCACTACACACCACATGCTCTGCTGGGAGCTTTCATACACCTGGTCTCATCTAAGCCTCCCAACAGTCTCATTTTACAGAGGAGAAAACAGGCTCAATGAGGTAGCCACAGCGCTGAAGTCACACTGCCAGTCAAAGGCAGAGCTGGGGCACGGTGTGAACTGTATCATTCTCTAGGGCCTATTTCTTCCTTCCTTCCTCCCTCCCTCCCTCCCTATTGAAACATAATTGATTGTACATATCTGTGGGGTATAGTGTTGACTGTCAATACCTGTGTGTAATACATGGTCTAGAGCCCATTTTCTCTATACTTTCTGTGGGGTCACTTGGGTGGGCAGAGATGCCTCAGTGCCATGATCTCATGGAGAGCCATGTGCTTCTCTGCTTGCAGTTCGTCCTGTACTTTGTGGTGGATCTCCTGAAAGGCCTGCCAGGCCTGCCTGGGCTCTTTGTTGCCTGCCTCTTCAGTGGCTCCCTCAGGTACCCCTTTTGACCATTTCCCTCAGTCTTGGTGCACATGATCCCTACTCGGTGCAAGAGGGGAATCTCTCTGAGTTGCTCCCTGTGTCCATCCATCTGTGGGTGACAGGAGACAGCTCATCTGTGTAGGACAGAGCACGTCTTCTTCCAGGAGTTACTCCCATCTTTGGTTAAGCATTCTTCTTTTACAATGCCAAGATTCAATCTATCAAACCTATTCCCACACTCAGAAAGGGACAGTGTCCTTGCTGTCCAGACCTCTGAGGTTGCCTCAGCTCCAGCTGTGAGGAGGTTTCTTGGCTGCATGTGTTGTCCCTCTGTAGAGTCTCTTGTTAGTTCTACCTCTTTCAGCTCCCGGACTCAGCACAGCTCATCATTTTCTTCCTGCTTTTTAGCACCATATCCTCCGCTTTTAACTCACTGGCAACTGTTACAATGGAAGACCTTATTCGACCGTGGTTCCCTGAGTTTTCTGAAGCCTGGGCCACCATGCTTTCCAGAAGCCTTGGTGAGATTGTTTCCTCATTTCTTCAGTGAGGTTCTTTCTAAGATACACCCTTCGCACTGTCATCAGTGTGCTTATAAAATACCTGCTTTATCCCTGGTCCAGCACTTGCCTGATGAAACATAAACCTGCTCTCCGTGGTTGTTTACATCTCGGGGCATTTCCTGGGGAGGTCTCTGAGTCATGTCGGAGTGGGGACTCGGTGGGAGGGACCTGGAGCTGGGGCATGAGGTGTTATGCTCTCTGTCTCCAGGGACACAGGTGGTGGTTTGGCTGGGGAGGGATCTTTGCTTTGCCTTTTTTCTTGTGTTAACTCAAATCTGCTTGTTTCCCCTTCTCCTTTTCCCCCAGCCTTTGGCTATGGGCTGCTTTGTCTGGGAATGGCCTATATTTCCTCCCACATGGGACCTGTGCTGCAGGTAAGATAATGACTATGGAGCCGGGGAAGAAATTTTTAAGGGAGAGAAGGAATTGGTTGAAACAGGAAATTGAGGAAGGCAGCTATTTTGCGGGGGGATTGGCACAGGGGGTAAGTGTCAGAAATTCCCCTGATGGAGTTGTGAATAGACTCTCAAGTAGCCAAAAGCCCTAGGGTCACTCCTGGGATGTTATCTGCTCAGCTAGATCTAAGGATCACCCTCAGGAGAACCCAGAACACATTCTCTTAGCCATTCCTTCCCTCTGGTATGGGGAGTTCACATTGTTCCAGGTAGAAGAGACAGGCACATCTGATGAGTGGGGCTCTGAGGCAATGACAGGTGGCTGTGCTGTGTCCGTGAGGCTAGGTGTCTCCGAGCCTGTGTCTTTTTTCCTCAACCCTGTCTTCCCAGGCTGCACTCAGCATCTTTGGCATGGTCGGGGGACCGCTGCTTGGACTCTTCTGCCTTGGGATGTTTTTCCCTTGTGCCAACCCACCTGTGAGTAATGCGTCTGGCTCCATAGTTGTGTGTAGTGGTGTGGGCCTAGGGAGTGGGTTGGTAGTGCTCTCACCAGGAGTGCTGGGGACTGGCGTGAAGGCTGGTAGGGCTGGCCTTCTGACAGGAGTGTGGGCTTTGTCTTTGGGCAGGGTGCCATCGTGGGCCTGTTGGCGGGACTCATCATGGCCTTCTGGATTGGCATTGGGAGCATAGTGGCCAGCATGGGCTCCAGCATGGTGGCCTCTCTTAGTAATGGGTCCAGCTTCTCCCTGCCTAGCAATATGACTACTGCCACTGTGACGACACTAATGCTCTCGACCACCCTCTCTCGGTGAGACTGCACTCACTGTCCTTGGGGGCAGAGCTCATTTTTGAGGGTTTTCACAGGGGCTTTGCTTAGGGACGGGTCACCAGAGCCTTCAGGGAAATATTGGATATTGGGTCCCAAGACTCTGGGACCATGCAGGTGGGTGGAGCCAGATGCCCAGAGGAATGCCCTGACAATGAATTGCTAATTATCCTCACCCCTCTGCTCTCCCCAGGCCAACAGGGCTACAGCGGTTCTATTCCCTGTCCTATATGTGGTACAGCGCTCACAACTCTACCACGGTCATTGTGGTGGGCCTGACTGTCAGTCTCCTCACTGGTGAGAGTGATCACAGCACAGAGAAGGAGGGGCTGAAGGAGAGCTCTTGGGGCACCTGCAGTCTGCTGGCAGAAGAGGGAGGGACGGATCCTGCCCTTTTGAGCCCTTGGGTGTTAGAAATCCGTTGAGAAGCCTATTACCAAGAAATAGGTGGAGGCTGGGACCTCTGGGGCCCTGGAACTGAGGGCCTGCTGCTCTAGATGATTACACCTTAGAGACTTAACAAGCACCTTTGCCTTCAGGGGGAATGCGGGGCCGGCCGCTGGACCCTAGGACCATTTACCCAGTGATGCCAAAACTCCTTGCTCTCCTGCCCTTATCCTTTCAGAAGAGGCTTTCCTGTAGAAGTTGCAGCCAGGTAGTATCTGTTGTGCAAATGATCTCCTTCCTTCCCTTCTCTGCAGACACTACCCGATTGTCCAGGTTTCCTTCCATCCATTTTCCTTTCCCCCTCCTCCCAGGGCCCCTCTCTCTGATGATCTGCCTGAGTGTGGACTGTACCAGCTTTACCCAGAGAGCTGTGCTGGCTTGGGAGGGGGGTGGGGGGTGGATGGAAGGATCTTAGGGCCCAGAGGAGCTCAGTTCCTGGATGGTGTGCCCCCTCCCCACTCCTATTTTGTGTTCCCCACTGTGCCTTGCTCCTCCCTTCCCCCCACCTGCCACCAGCCTTGCTCTCTCCCTTCCAGCAGGGATGAAAGGGGGTCTTTCACCTTTTCTGCATTAATCACTTCACCACCCCTTGTCTATGTGCACCAGCTCCACTGCCTTTACTGTGCGTGTTCCCCAGGACCTGCCCCCGGACACCAGCCAGTTTCCAGAGAAGATGCTGAATGGAGTGCTGAGGGACAGCAGAGAGGAGGCGATGGCCAAGGACAGTTCAGCCTATCAGGGGAGCAGCCCCACCTTTATCCTCCAGGAGACCTCCCTGTGACGTGGACACAGGACCCTGGCCTCTGTCTTCACTCTGGCAGGCAGCAGCCAGAGGCCACCCTGTAGTATAGGGACGAGGCACTTGATGTGTTCTGCAAGAATGGGTCTGGATGACCTAGCCCGTACCAAAGCTCTTTGTTCTTAGAGATTCTCTCCTGCATGAGAAGCTGTCACATCTCAGGCGTGTGAGAGTGGGTCAGGGTTTCTCCTTGTTCTTTGCCAGTCTATTCTTTAGAGGACAAGGCTTCCAAGGGGCAGGATTGTGCCAGAAGTGAGGATGGAAACGAATCCTCTGGGGAAAGGATGATGGCTTCTGATTTAACATAGCCAGGGTCCTTTGAAGTGTCTAGAAACAGTACTTGTGGTCATAACTGTTCTAAGGTCCAATTTGGCAATATTGACCATCTCCACCATAAAACTTGAGGCTGCCTTGGCCAGCTGTTGCTTCCCTTCCAGTCCCATCTCTCAGTGATTCTGTCAGCCTCAGTGGGCCCTGTGATTACTTTCAGGTTGTCTGTGACACCCAAGCCCCTCTCATTGTCTGTCTACCTCCATTCTTGAGAGAGAGGTTTTGGTGTCCTTCGGCCTCTCGCAATAGACCTCCATCTCATTTGTGTAGAGTAGGCAGATGTTTTACCTCACTGACCCCACCCTCCACCTCTGAGATGGGCACTTGGGGACAGGGCAGATGTGGATTCAAGAGACCAGGTTCAAGACTGGGTCCACTGTGAAGTGTGTCATCCACCTGACTCCTGAGCTAGGCCACTCTAGTGTCATTCTGTTTCCTTTTGGAGTTTCTTCCCCACACATCTTTGTTTTTAGGGAATAAAAACTGCCATTGGACCTTGAATCTGGGCTCCTGTACTGTCTCTAATTGTTCCTGTCCACCTAGCCCCATGCCTTGGAGAGGATAGAGAGCCCCCTCCTGTGCACAGGTCATTTTCCTCCGTTGAGGAGAGGCAAAGGGAACCTGCAGTGTGATTGCAGGTCTCCGCTGCTGCGGTGTCTGCAGGGGCAGCTTGTGCTCATCAGGATGGGGGATGCACACACTCCCCTTTTGAGGCTTCTCGTCCCCTGTGGCTTAGTCTATCCTTTGTCCAGCCCCACCTGTTCTTTGCCAGAACAGTCTCTGCTGTTGGAGATTTTTCACTTTTGGGGCTAGAGGAAGAATGTTGCTATTTGATTTTAGAAACTACATTCAAGCTGGACTTTTTTTTTTTTTTTTTTTTTCCTTTTTGTCTTTTTTCGTGTCCGGCAACGGATTGCAACCCTCAGTGTGGCGCCCGTACCAGACTGTTTTTTTTTTTTTCCTTTTTGTCTTTTTTCATGTCCGGCAACGGATTGCAACCCTCAGTGTGGCGCCCGTACCAGACTGGGACCGGCAATGGGATCGCAACCCTCGGTGTTGTTCCCACACCTCGCTCAGCCAGTGAGCGGGAACCGGTCTGTATGTGGGATCCGAACCCTCGGCGGGAACGCCGCTCTCCCAAGCGGTGCACTGTAGCATGCGCCACCGGGCCGGCCCATCAAGCTGGACTTTTATGTTCTTGCGAAGAACATTGTGCCTGTGCCCATGCCCATGCCCACCTGGTCTTGGTCCCAGGCAGATCTGAGAGTTCAGCTTTGGCTAGGCCTTCCCACAGCTCTCAGCCACAATCCAGCTGTTCTCCCATATCCCATGCACCTCCAGGCTGGGATGTCTGCCCATGCCCATGCCCACCTGGTCTTGGTCCCAGGCAGATCTGAGAGTTCAGCTTTGGCTATGCCTTCCCACAGCTCTCAGCCACAATCCAGCTGTTCTCCCATATCCCATGCACCTCCAGGCTGGGATGTTCTGTCTCCTTTTCTGCCTCAACTTGCTGAGTCACTCCCTCAGCCTCCTTCCTCCTGCCCTGTGGAGGAATGTTTTAATTTAGGGTCTTTATGATGGAGAGTACCTCTCCAATGATTAGGAGGATACAAGATGAAAATACAGGTAATATTATTTATAGGTCCTGGGGAGTACTTGGCATGCTTGGAGGCCAAACACACGGAGGCCAGGGAACATGTGGAGAGAGAGAAGAGAGTGTGGCAACTAGCAGTGTACGTTGGCGTCAGGAATTCTATGGGTGAGAGGGCAACTTAGTTGGGTGATCCTGGCTCAGGAGGTCTCGTGGGTTGCTCTCAAACTGTCAGCCAGGGCTGCAGTCATCTAAAGGCTTGACTGGAGCTGGAGATCTGTTTCTGAGGTGGCTTATTAGTGCTGGCTGTCAACGGGAGGCCTCAGTTCCTCGCCAGCCAGGCCTCCCAGCTGGGCTACTTGAACAGCCTTCAAGATAGGCTCACTGAGCCTGTCTGCCTTCTCTACTGCCTGCTAGGGAAGTTGGACAAGAGGTTGGAACACTAGAAATGGCCCCTGCACATCTTGGCACAGGAAACACCTACCCTGTACAACAGCCTTACCCTATCCTCATTTGTTTGGGGCTTTGTGGGTACTTTTCACTGTGTAGGTTTTCCTTTTCCTTTCTAGCATCCCTGGCATGGACACAACCCTCATGTGAAAGGCTGCAGAGTCCCAGGTTCATCTGACATGACTTTGCAGTCCTTTCTAGGACAGCCCTTGTGGAGGAGCTCCCCTGATGTGTCCCGGCCATTAGCTCTGGGAGTACACTTGGGTACAAGAGGATTTCTTTTTATGTGGCTGCAGGTGTGGCTCTAGTACTTCCCTCCTACTGTGCGTCTTGCCAAGGCATTGGTTCCTACCATGTTCAGAATGTCTCCCAATTTGGTTTGGTCTGATGTTTCTTATGATCAGATTCAAGTTATGCATGTTTGACGAGAATATCACAGAAAGGATTCTGTTTTTCCCATTGCATCTTATCAGATAGTGCATGACTTTGATTTGTCATATGCTTTCCTTAAACACTGGTTATTGTTGTAATATTTATTGTAGTTTTCTTTTTTTTTTTTTTTTTCGTGTCCGGCAACGGATCGCAACCCTCAGTGTCGCGCCC